GAGAGGGAGAGAGGAGAAGGGGAGGTAAATGGATGGAGAGAGGAATAATAAAGAGCAGAGAGACACTGGAGGTGGTCGAAGATTAAAAATCTGAGATAGGGAGAGAGAGAGAGAGAGAGCGTTAATAAGAAGAGACGGAGAGAGACCAGGTGAAAGGAAGAATGAATACTGGAGGGGGGGAGGGGAGGAAGAGAAAGAACAATGAGGAGATAGAAAGATGAATGTATTCCTGGAGAGGGGAAAGAATAAGATTAATGGACAGACAGAATAAATGAATGTTTGATTTTTCAATTTTAGGATTTTAAGAAACAAGAAGAAATGGAAACAGTAGAAGAGAGGAAAGAAAAAGAGGGAGAAGAGAGAGAGAGAGGAGAAACAGAAAGAGAGACAGGTGGATCAATGGACAGAAAACGTGTAATATTTGTGTTCAGCAGGACAAGGTGTGTCTATTGTGTCCATGTGTGGGGGCTGTGTGTGTGTGTGTGTGTGTGTGTGTGTATGTGTGTGTGTGTGTATCCAGACAGGCCCAGGCAGCGAGGAAATCGAATGAAATGAAATAAACCTCTACACCTGCCAGCTTCAACACACTCACACATCTACAGCTCTAGTGAGCCCTGAGGGACACACACACACACACACACACACAAACGCACACACACAGAGCTCTCTTTGATTTGCTAGGTTTGATTCCCGACGTTTGATTTTCTTTTCACACACTTAGGTTTTCTTTGCTTCCCAGCAGCCGTTTAGCTTCACTCAGACAGGCGGAGCCTGAAGCCACCAGAGAGGTGTTCAAATGCTCTGAGCCAGCGTGGGACAGCCCAGAGGCTGCTGCTGGCTGGCAGTACTTACTGAAAGATCACTAACACTGTAAAAAAAAAAAAAACTTCCATTTGTGCATGTTAACAAGGCATTTAGTGTAGAAGTGGATTCTGTGTCTGTCCACGGTTACATACGATGACCTCAGAGGTATTCTGTCATAGGTTTTTATTCCAAGGAATGGTGTACAGGGATCCGATGAGGGCCTTCAGTGACTGACTGCAGTGACAAGTACTGCCTCCCTCTGAACACCTCCAAGACCAAGACCATCAACTTTTGGAGGTCTAGGCCCACCCTTCAGCCAGTCAACGTTCGAGGGAAGGACATTGAGGTGGTCCACGCTTAAAAATACCTAGGTGTGCACCTGTACAGTAAACTGGACTAGTCCCTGAACAACATGGGGAGAAGCTGGCTCTTATTCCTCAGGAGACTCTGTTCCTTTGACATCTGCAGTGAAATGCTGCACATGCTTGATCAGTCAGTGGTGGCCAGTGTACTCTTTTATGCTGCAGTCTGCTGGGGCAGCAGCATGTCCGACATGAACACAAGGAGACTGGACAAACTGGTCAAAAAGGCTGGGTCTGTGCTTGGCAGGAGTCTGGACTCACTAAGAACTGTTGTGGAGAGACGCATGCAATGTAACATGGAGGCCATCTTGGACAATACCAACCATCCTCTCAACAACATTCTGGCAGGACAGAGAAGCAGCTAAAGGTGCAGTAAACATCTCATCTCACTGCGCTGCAGGACAGAGAGGTTCAGGAGATCCTTTGTTCCCACTGCCATCAGGCTATACAACACCTCAGCCAAAGGAAGTGGCTCGTGAACTGGAGTAATTCAACTATTACTGTTTATTATTAACTATTATTATTACTACTATTGAACTATTTATTTTTAACTTAATCTTTAAAATTGAGCTACTGGACACTTGAATTCCCCCTATCTATCTATCCATCTATCTATCTATCTATCTATATGATTATATCCAGCTCAGTTTTTACTCCACAGTGCTGCACAAATGTAGACAACAAGCCACCAACATAAACACATTTTTACTAATGTCACCACCTAAAAACACATAAAACAAAACCTGTGGGTTCCTGCATAGTGACCCGCATGTGCAGATGTTCCTTCAACTCATTTCCAAAGATCAAAAACACAAACCCACATCTGTTTGCATCCAATCACATCTCTCCATTGATTTTGTAAGTAATATACAATACCATGTCTAAAATTAGCCTAGCACTCTCAGTGTGTGTGTGTGTGGGTGATTAATGAGGTCTGTAATGGATTCTGATGACCTCATGGGATTTCAAGAGGAGATGATAAGCAATCACACACACACACACACACACACACACATATACACACTCTCTGATAGTGACACCCTCTCTTACGTAGCCAAGGTGACAGGGGGCATCCAATGTGTGTGTGTGTGTGTGTGTGTGTGTGTGTGTGTGTGTGTGTGTGTTAGTGAGATAGTTTGGCATAATGAGATGATAACTGCATAACTGTTGCTAGGGCAGAGGAAGCCATCTGTGTGTGTGTCTGTATGTGTGTGTGTGTTTGTGTGTGTAGAATGAAGCTCAACTGTAAGAATCAGAGACATTTCAGACAGCTGATACAAGTTTAATTAACCAACAGTGTAAATAACCTTCAGCTGCATCACAGTATGTATTTGACTGTCTCCTCCATGATGGTTTTACTTTTGTACAATTCCTACATTTTGCTTAATGTAATAAAAGACACGATTTGTGTCCCACCAGCTTGTCAAGTAAAAGTCTCTTTACTGAAGCTTTCTGTCCTTTATTTGAAGACAGCAGTGTGTGTGCCTGTGTGTGTGTGTGCGTGTGTGTGTGCATGTGTGTGTGCGTGTCTGTGCGCATGTATGTGTTATGTATGAGGGGAGCTCAGGCCCGTAGCTCCTCCATAAACATGGATCTGCGATGCTTCTCGACACACTGAGCAGGTTGAGCCCATTTGAAAAATCTAACTCAGCACCAGAAACCACAAAGTTTTATGTAAAGTTTAAGAAAATGAACTGACTTCCTGCTTCTAAGAGCAACATCCCGCTTAACATTTACAGCTTAGTTTTACACAGTCACACTGGGAGTCTCAGTGGGTTTGGTGCCTTTATCAAAGAGACTGAAACCAAAGTTCACCTTAGTAAAGACTTTAGTAAAGTAGTTATTTTAACCCAAACCAGGATATTTCCGTAACCTAGTCGTTTTTATACCTGAACCTAACCCAACTTTAACTATTGTCACATCATGAAACAGATTTATTTTCCAAATCATGTCATCCTGTTGTTCTCAAAGACATGGACAACAAAGTGTTTTGTCTTTTCATTTGGAGGATCTCAAAGGCACCTCAACAGTTGAGCTTGAAATCAGTTTATCTCTACTCATGGGACATCCAGATCATTATAGTATCAAATATATACACAATCAGAAAATATTAGTGTGAATTCCTTGTTGCAAATGTTACTTTAGCCTTCTGCAATGATAAACAGTCCCATTGAGCTAAACACTGAACTAAACTGAGCTAACTACTGAGCTAAACACCGAGCTTATTACAGCGACTGAGCTAACCATGGAGTCAACCAAAAAACGAAGCTAACTGCTGAGCTAACTACAGCCACTGAACTAACCACTGAGCTAACCTGAGCTAACCTCTGAGCAAACCACCAAGCTAACAACTGAGTTAACCAGTGAGCTAACCACCCAAATCTCAGCTACCCAGCTTTCTCAGTTAAACGTTATCCTGGTTTCTGTTTGTTTGTTTTTAACGTGTAATTATATATTTACTTGGTCCGAAACTGGAAAACTGGGCTGAACCAACAAAAAATGCCAAAAAAAAAAAAAAAGGGGTTTGACTTCGACTCAGTGCTCAGCAGGACAGTATGAGAGCAGTACTAGGACTTGTTGCAGTACCATGGACAGCTCCACCCCAAATCAGAATTCAGCACCATGGACAGCTCCACCCCAATTTCCGGAATTCATTTTCATTTCATGCCATTTTATTTAGAGAAATATAAATGGCTTACAAAGCAAATATAATGTAGCTGTTTTATGGAGGCATGATCAACCATGCACATACACACCATATCTCTCTCTCTCCGTCTCTCTCTCTCTCACACACACACACACACACACACACACACACACACACACACATTTCCATGAACAAGCAAAGCAGTGTGAGCAGGATTTCAGTTGTGAGTCCTATGTGACTTTCAGCCTCCACTGGATAAAAAAAAAAAAGAAAACCAGCAGAATAACACCATGACCTTTACAGAGAGTAACTAGACCAACCTGCAGTGATGAATGGTACTGTAGTTTCCTCTACACACACATCACACACACACACACACACACACACACCCACACCCACACACACACACACACACACACACACACACACACACAGACAATCTCAGCTGAACCTGCATTTCTGTCTCCAAAACAACGGCAGTTAAAGCCGCAGTTAAAGATTTTTGATCTAATCATGCCATTATTTGTCG